CATCCATCTTGATCTTGTGATCATCGACGACATCCGCAACATGCAACTCCAATATCATCTTCTCCTCCTCAATTTTTCTTATTTTTACCTTCAAGAAATTGTTTTCTTCTTCAACTAAATTTAACCTCTCGACGATATGGTCGGTTGGAATTTCCGGTTCAACAACCTCCTAGATAAATAAAATCTATGTCACGTTGGTCGGCATAATTTTCATAAACAATAAATGAACCAATAGTTATGAAAAGATAATATATATACCACATCCGAATCATAGACAGGACGAGGGCCGACGGGGGCGGATACCAAAACCATCGGACTATATAAGATGCAATAATAAAAGTAAGAAAATAATACAAGTATCTATCTAAACATACAAGTAAGAATATTTTTCCTTTCAGAAAGAAGATAAGAGCAAGAGGCTCACCATGGTGGTGTCGACGATGAGATCGGCGCGGGTGATCGACGGCGGTGAAGACGGGTACGGGGCGTGACGGACCGCTAAACCTAGACAAATATTGAGGAAAATGGAGCTTGGAGGTCGAGCTTGGAGAGGAAAAAGCTTAAGTAGTGTGGCTCGGGCATTCCATCGAACATCTTGTGTGCATAGGAGGTGAGCTAGAGCACCACCAAGCCCTCTCCCCCTCGGCGGCCAGAAAAAACAGAGCAGTGTGCTCTCCTCTTACGCGAGGGGGTATATATAGGCACCTAATTGGTCCCGTTTGGTGGCATGAACCTGGACTAAAGGGTAGCCTTTGGTCCCGGTTCGTGGCATCAACCGGGACCAATGGTGGTGGGCCAGGAGCGAGGCCCATTGGTCCCGATTCGTCCCACCAACCGGGACCAAAAGGTCCAGACGAACCGGGACCAATGGCTCACGTGGCCCGGCCGGCCCCCGGGGCTCACGAACCGGATCCAATGCCACCATTGGTCCCGGTTCTGAACTGAACCGGGACTAATGGGCTGACCCGGCCTGGACCAATGCCCCCTTTTCTACTAGTGACTGGTCGTAAGCTCGGTGAGAGTCCGCCATGAGATGATAATAATGATATCGATAGACATCTCTCGTATCCTCAAAATAAATAAATAAAGGACATCTCTCGTGAGACGGTTCAATTTTCCAAGAAATGCCCTGCCTCGTTAACAGGAGAAGAAAAAACTAGCTCAAACCCTGTAGAGATTATTTTTTTGCGGGTAAAACCCTGTAGAGATTAGACATCAACAGTTTGTGGCTGATGTCGGAGGCATCGCTCTCTGCATGTTGCCGTGTCGCACCCAACATGTAAATGGACACCTTGATGTTTGAGATTGCTTTATCTATTCGTGGATAAGGCCTTTAACTACATTCAAGAATATAAATAAAGATTTTTAAACCCATTTTTTCCAACCTTTTCATTTTCATTTTCATGCATTTGCAATTCAAATTTGAATTATATTTCTTAAATGCCCAAAAATTCATTTAATGCCTTAACTATAGCAACAAATTTTGATCTAAACATTCCTATTCATTACGCTGCTATTGCCATTTTTGGTATTTTTTTTGGAATCATTTGCTAATTTTACGACATTAATTGCATTTTTGGCTATTTATCTGACAATATTCAGTTTTGATCTACATGTACATAAAAATGGGCTATAACTTCAATCAAAATCCATATTTTGGTACTAATATATATTTATATCTCCTTTTGAAAATAAATAAACTCAAAATTTTAAAAGTTTGCTCTTGAAAATTTAAGTGAACACATGCATTTTTTAAAATTGTTTTGCCAAGTGTCTTATGATAAACACTTGACAGAGCATGTCCAGTGTAACTCTAGCCAAAACACATGTTTACTGACTTCTCCTTTTTTTTGCGAGTGTTTTGCCCTGATACCCACTCGAAAAGGGCTTGTTTGTCGAGTACCAGATGAAATAAAGTAGGCAAACCAACTCACATTCGGAAACAACCATTTTTCTATAGTGACGTCTGGTCTGCTGAGATTTTAGTACCGTAGCATCCGTGTGCTCACATGCATTGGGTGTAATATTCCGCTCATCTTCGAGGCTTCCACCAGGAAGAAGTGGAAGGTGAAGGAGGCCATGCTTGTGGATGCGTGGCTGTCCAAAATCAAGCTCCCCAACAACTGGACGATGGACCACATCCGGCAGCTTGTCACCTTGTGGGCTCGGCTGAGGGCCATCTCCCTCGCGGTGGACGCCGATGACATCATTACATGGAAGCATACCGACATCTGGGTATATTCTGCCACATCCGCGTATAGTGTGCAACTTCTGGGGTCGGTCCGTTCGCCCATGGGCACCGCCGTTTGGAAGGTCTGCCCCTACCCCCTCCTAACATGAAATTCTTTGCATGGCTGGCAATTCAAAATCGAGTCTGGACGGCGGACAGATCGAACTGTGGCCTCTGTCCACTATGCAAGCAGACGATGGAAACGGTGTACCACATCTTCTTCAAGTGCCGGTACTCCATTAAACTATGGGGTATGATCAAGGGCTGGCTCAAGCTCGACTACCTCGACATCTCATCCTGGATCACGATGCACTCCATGAAGGACTGGTGGCTCAACATGTCGGCCACCAATATGCCCAATTGAAATGCGATAGCCTCCCTTACTATGCTAACATGCTGGACCATATGGTGCGAGAGAAATGCATGGGTTTTTCGTCACAGAGGGTTCCTCCCCTAGCGACCTACCGCCGCCGCCGGGCGTCCTCGCGCCGCCGGTTGCTCGAGCCCGGCCCCGCCCCTCCCTCCTCCCTCCCGGATCCGCCCCTGCGCCGCCTCCCTGGGAGGTGGCCGGGGCGGCGCGCGGCCTCCTCCTTCTAGGCGACCCCTCCCCCTTTCCCACCGCCGCCGCCGGCGGTCGCCACTGGCGCCGGCCCAGGTGGTGTTGGCGGCGGTGGGACTTCCAGTCCCTGCACGCTCGTTTCTTCATCCCGGGGCAGGAGACGGCGGTGGTGTAGCTCGGTTTGGCGGCGGTCTGGCCCTGCGGTGGTGGCTGGCAGCGAGCGAGGTGGCGGCACGACTCCTTGGTTGCGGGACGGCTTGGTGGTACGGGGTGGTCGGCAGCGCGCCCCCGGCCCAGATCTGGGCCCTGCGGGGCCCATCTGGGTCCTAGCGGGCCGATCTCCGGCGTGGCTTCGGTGTCTTCTGCGTGGTGGGGAGGAGGAGCAGCTTGGACCGGGGCGGCGACGCCGACGGCGTGCCTGCTGCAAGGCGAAGGTGGGAGCTTCACGAGCCTATGAGGGCCCAACCGGGCCTGTGGGCCCACGGGCCTGGTATGCTCCTGCTATTGCGTCCGGTCAGCTACCATCATTGACGGTGGAGGTTGAGCTCTCCCGCGTGTCGACGGTGTTGCTGTCTCTAGTCCCGGCTCCTGCTCTTCGGTGTGCATACCTCTCTTCGTGTTGGCGTGGTGAGACGGCGTGGAAGCCTCAAGACCATGTTGGTGCAGGATGGTGGTCGGTTTGGTGGCGGGCTCCGGAGCGCCCGAGGTGATGGTTGGGATCGGGAGAAATCCCAGTCGGCATGATCGACACCAACGCGGTGGCGCCTGAGGGTGCCACCGGACCTCCCTGGAGGGCGTCGGGGGCTGCCCTTCCTCTCTCCTCGCCACGTTCCTTCTTGGAGGTGTTGATTGGTACCGGCGCTTCGGAGTCTAGGAGCTAGGTGGGAGATTTCCGGCGGGCGCAGTGGTCGCGAGGCTTCTTCGTTTTTGTCGATCCGCCGTTGTCGGCATTTGTCTCTTTTGTCTTTCTCTTTCAGTTCTTTTGGGCGTGTCTGTGCTGCTTCCACCCCAGCACCTATCGTTGATTGTATCGGTTGGTTGCTTTGTAATACAAAGCGGGGGGAAACCCTTTTTCGGAGGTTTTTCGTCACAAGTTGATGCTTCCATCCGTGTTGCTTTCAAACATTCAGAAGATGCTAGCATTTGGGTAACCGCGGGCGCAGAGCACTTGGTTAGATCATCCTGGGAGAGTAGTGGCTTTGTAATATTTCCTTCGGCTTTTTTTATAAAAGCAACTCTAAACTCCTTAATTAATGCATGAGGCAAATATTTTGCCTTCGTTTCAAAAAATAATAATATGTTGGAGGCTTTATTATGAGAGCAGTGATTCGGTGCCCAGGCTCATCTGTACCCTTGATGAAGGAAACATTCAAAATGAATACTAGAAAATTTTAAAATTTTCAACAAAAAATTCATAGTAGATAATTTGATGCCTGAGGTACGCTTCATGTTTAAGATCAGGACATTTTAGTAGCTCTTGGTTAAAAAGACAAATTTGGGGTCCGTAAAAAGGTTTACTGTTCATGTACTGTTTTGAGCCAATATATCTTTTTTGCTGAGAGATACTCGTATGTCTAAATGATCTAAAATTTGAAGCCCACCTCACACACCAAATTATTTACCATGCAATTGTTTTTGGATATTTTTTGGATATTTTTTGTATTTTTTCTTGACCAGGTGTAGATGAGTCTGGGCTCAGAAATGGATATTCGCTTTATTATGTACAAAAATATTATTGTTGAGATTTCCATCCGGAGTAGCCTACCAAGGAAATCCTGCAGCCTAAACAGAACCAGCGAAGAAGCCGGAAAATGCGTCAAATTCCAGATTTTCTTTCCCGCAAAAAACGGAGTCCCTTTCTTCTTTTTCAAGAAACACGTTGAGGGATAAAAGTCACGGTATAGTCACCTTGTGCTTAGCAAAACCCACAGCTAAACCCCTTCGTCCCCGCTGTAAGTTCGCGCCATGGCCCTCCTCGCCGCCGCTCGCCGCGCCTCCGCCGTGATCCGTCCTAGGGTCGCGGCTGCGACCTTCTCCTCGACAAAGCGGAGCTCCTCCTCCTTCTCCGTCTGTGCCCTCCGCGCCAAGGTGGACTCCTGCCGCGACGAGGCCACCGTGCACCGCACCAACGCTACCCCCCTCCGCGCCCACGCCGAATCTGTCAACGCCACCATCCACGACTGGGAGGTCATCGACGTCATCGACTCCGTGATGCGGTCCCGCGACAGTGGCCTGGTATGTACGTCCGCCGATCTAATTCGCCCATCTGGCATCTGCTAGGCCTATTATTTGTTGTTTTTACTCGAACAGGGAGGATTTCACAGATTTCCTGCACTTGTGAGTTGTGAGTTGTGACACAAATGATGTGATGTAGAGATTGATCTCCTTACTGTCCGTGCTTATTTTATGGATTTTCTATGATCCTGATGCGTTCATCCATGACCTGCTCTTGAAAGAATTAATCTTAATTTTCTAATTAAGGATAGGCTTGCCTACAGAAGTTTAGAACTGTAAGGTTTTGCACAATCATTTTATTTTTATTTCGCATCAGATCTGCAATCTTTACATGATTAATTGTGAATACGCATGGTACTGATTTCTCAAAAAAAAACTTAATTGGTTCCTCAAATAAAAATGGGTCTGTCTAGGACGCATCTGGATGTGACATAATTATGTCAAATCTAAACTGATGTCCACTCCGTTTGTGGTCTATTTTTTTCCTTGTTTTTTTGTTTTTTGTTGCTGCATTATATATTTGTGGGAGCTTAGATGTGACATCCTTAAAAAACATCTAGATGTGAATTAGTCAAACTGAATAAAAATATGCATGGTACTGCCTTTTTTTTCGAGGACTCAAAAATAATCAACTTCCTGGCCTTTTTCCTATTCCTTCTAAATCTGTTGTGAACATGGTTTCATGTTAATTCTCGGAGCAATTGTTATTGTTTGTAACCTGGATTTTTCCTTCCATCTTAAAACAGGTTGACGGGATTCCTAGTGACTTCCCATTCGAAATCCTCAAAGAGGAGGGGCTTAAAGACATAACTCTTACAAGAAGTTTGAAGGGTGAGCAGATTGAGGTCGTGGTTTCCATGCTCAAACCAGACGGGGACGAGGAGGAATCCTCCGATTCTAGGTATACATCGGATGAAGACGAAGGGGACAGTAGCATGCCTCTCATGGTCACGGTTTCCAAGGCCGATGGATCAAACCTTAAATTCACCTGCACTGCCTATCCTGACAATGGCAACATCTTCATCGATACCTTGTCCGTGAGACTCCCACCATCAGGGGCCATGGGACATGAGGAAGATGATCGTGGTTTCAGGTATGAATGCATATAGGCAGCAGATTAAACCTGGATAACTATCTATTTGTTCACTTTAATCCTTTCAAAAGTTAATTACTACTAGTAGAGAGCTTGGGTTAACTGCCGTATAATTGCTCTTTGTCCATGTGCTGCAAGCAGTGAGCTGGATGAGACCCTGCAGGAGGCACGCAGTGAGCTGGATGACAACCTACAGGAGACATTCCGCAAGTATCTGGAGCTGCGTGGGGTCACTCCCATGAACATGAAGTTGTTGCACCAGTACTTGATCAGCAAGGACATACTCTGCAATCAACTATGGCTGACCAAGCTGCGGGATTTCGTCAAGAAAGATTGACACCGTCCATAATCCATTCTCTCTCTGCATAAGATTGGCGACAATAAATGTTCTTTGCACACCATCCTGTTCTGTTTGAGAGCTCTCGATCTCATCCTCTAGTGTCTTAAACAAGTACTACTTGCGTACATGCTTGTTAAGATACTTTTGTGCAACTATTTATCTGACGGCACTACTTGCAAAACCTAAAGTTGAAACCATTTTGGGGTGCTTTATTCACTATGGCATGTGATTTGCTTCTGCTATGTAAGATCTTCGGTTGTGGCCGTTTCTAGCGTGTAACACTAGTTGTGTTGGCAGGCTGATGTGAGAGGAGAGAATTCTGCAGTGGGCCGGTGAACTGGAATTACCAAACTTGCGATAGCTAAACACACCGATGCTAGCAACGGGGTGTGGTTGAAGAGCACTGATCAAGTGATCATTGTGGGGGTCCGTGATCACGCAAGTTGGAGGCGATAGCTATTCCGGAGGCTATATCTTTGGCAGAAGATCTTCAACTACATAACTTTGTCACTGCCTCGATCAGATTCCAAATAGGTTGTCGGCGACTTCTCAAGAAGCAACCAGGGTAGGTACAGAGTGATCATTAGTGAAATCAAAGCCCGAGCTTCTCCTTTCCTTGTATTTTTAGCTTTCAGATTCGTGTTGTTAATGTAGAAGCACACAGTTTAGCTAAGTGTCTCCTTTCTTTAGCTCAGGGGCTTATGTGTGGTTTGGCCAACCTCATGATCATCCCACTCGTTGTGGCTTTTGATCAATAAAAATGGCTTTACCCCTCAAAAAAGAGGTTGAAGCGCATTGATCCTATGAAAGCAGGGGTTGGAATTTGATACAAATGTGCGGACATGGAGCCTCTTTGGGACCATATAGGATCACGACCTGATGGCCAAGTCTTCCCAAACTAAAACATAGGTACCCGCCGACCTACTTTGTATTTTCTTGGATCTTATATCCAAATAAGTCTATGTAGTAGTTATAAGTATGAATATAGTTACAGGTGTTTATAAAAAACAAATAGGTATGCAATGAGCTCATGTGCGATGGTTGGAGATGTCAACCCCACCATATTTTGCGAGGACATGTGGTTGAGTGACCTTTTGGACGCAGAGACCGCCTCCCTCCAGTGCCATCGGGGAAGGCTTGATATGATGTTGACCTCTAACTGAGGAGGAGATTCAGGAATACTTCAACCATGAGAGATTGGGATGGATGGCTTGTTTTCAATCCATTCAGTTCATGTTGCTTGACGCACTGGGAGTAGGTGATGCCTATAGCTAAAATAAGTTGTAACTCCAAGGCTCCACGGAATTGCATCTTCTTCGCATGGTTAGTGGGTGGAAGAGTAGACGATGGACATGAAATCGCTTGTCTCATCGAGGTTTGCTGGGCTAGCCCACCTGTCGGTGTTGCGATCAACACCAGGAGACTATCAATCACTTGCTGGTTGAATGTGCCCGTGCTCGTTCGGTCTGGCAGGAACTGCTAAACACCTGGGGCAACGTTGAGTGGACTCTGTCGGACACTCATTGGTGGTGGAGTGGTGCAGCACGACAACAAATTATATTATTAGGATGAAATATCTTTGTTCCATCAGCTCCATGGTTCCGTGAAAGCTCTAGAAGCGTCAAAACGACATAGTTCTCAAGCGGGTACATCATTGGTAGAGGTTGTTATAGGGTGAGTGGATCTGAAAAGTAGGGCTTGCCATATGGAAGGCTTTTTTTCTTGGAAAACACCAGCTCATATATTAATTAAATAAAAGTGTTATTATAATCTTCCATTACAGAATTCACCACGCAAGGTAGGACATTGTTAACATGGTTATATTTTGTGCACATGATGAACAATGGAAGGAAAAAAGCAACGCCCCTGGCGGAAGATGTGCCAATTCTTTGGTGCTAGCCTTGACCCAGCAACGGGCTTCATCTTGTATGCCTTGCATGCGGCGAGCAACGGAAGGGTGCTCACCGCAACCATTGTGGTGCTTCTAAAGTGCCCACATGGTTAGGATGACAATTTCGCATGCTCGCCGAAGCCAAATGACTGCAAGCGAGAAACTCGTTGTCTGGGCCTGGGATGGTATCAGCCACATGACTGCAAGTGAGAAACTTGTGCCACGACTAACGAAAAGGGGCAACTCCAATTTGGTGCCAATATCACGAGTTACGGGCAAAACAGTAGACAACGCATACCCCCATTCACTATGCTAGATTTATTGGGCCGACCCATATATGCACATTTTTGTGAAGCCACCAATGGGTTTTGGGAAGCTTCTATAGCTTCCCATCGGTTTATTTTTCCGTTTCTAGTTTTTCGCCAGCTTTTCTTTGTTTTCATTGTTTTATTTGTTTTCTGGTTTTTAGAGTAGTTATAACTTATGAAGACTAGTAGAATGCCCGTGCGCTATCACGGGCTTCTAAAATATTTTGCTGAAGTTATATAAAGATAGTGGATGTTAAATTTCACAGGTAGAGACAATATAACACGGTCACAATTGCATAGTAGTTCAAGTCCACTTCGCTTGTAATGTAAACTTACAACAAAATGGCAAATTGACAATGTATACATAAATAGTGATGATCCAACTAAAAATCTATTACAAATTATTGAGATGTACTTGATGCACTTAAGAAATTCTCGTACAGTATCAGGAGAGTTATCTTTAGCTTCATGCGCGTGATGTTTGAGCAAGTATAATAAAAACTACTTCCACAACTCATACCGTCCCATCATGCAAAAGCAATATCTGTAGTTACCACGAATACTTCACGTGAAAAGTCTAAAAACCTATGTAATGGACAATACTCACCATGGAAACCGATTTCACCAGGTCCTTACTGTTTCACGATAGCATAAAATGAAAAACAAAATAGCCAGACAAATCCCTGCAATTTCCTAAATTGTTATTATATTAAATAGTGTGATAACAAAAATAAATGTTTTTATTCTGAATTTTTTACCCATCTACGGGATGCACTGATGACTTCTTTTTTATCATTAAAGCGCTCTCCTTTTCTTTCTTTCTTTCTTCTCTGAACTAAAATTTGATTCACGGAGTGATATGTGAATGGATAAATTTACAACCATACTAAAATATCAATGGCTAAAAACATATTTATCGAAAAACAATTCTACAACACATTCGAGTTATACAACACATTTGACATGAAAGTTATTATGTCTATAGATTTGGAACAAACAAATGGTGACTTACCACCAAATCTCATTTTATGTTTGAGGACGTGGTTGTCCTACCAATGTGTACCTGCAAGATCTCCCATGATCTCGAGTATGTTGCCTTCTCAACAAGGCTCCAACGCTCTAGTAGCCATCTCATGAGCCGGTCGTCATTGTTGTTGGTGGTGGCGGTAGCGGCTATGAGGAGGAGGAACACCACAAGAGGTTGTTGATGTTCTTGATCTCTCCCCCGTGGTCACTGTCGCCTCTATATGGGGTGTCGTTCATCAACAACACCGCTGCGCCAACTACCTTTCTGTATAGAAAAATAAAAAGATACTCCCTCCTTCCCATAATATAGGACATTTTTGCAAAATAACATAGCTTGCAAAAGACTCTTATATAGAGGGAGTAGAAACTTTGTGTGTTTGGTGGGCTTGAGTTTAAAATTATAGCCTTATAGAAGGGGTCTGGAGCAAGCGGGCAACAACCCTGGTTTTCTCCTTTCGATTTTCTTGAATTGTTCTCCTTTAAATTTTCATAGGAAGAGACAAGACAAGGAGGTGGGCTATCGTTGAATGGGAGGGAGGGGGGTCGATGGAGGGGTAACAAATGAACGGAAGGACATATGTACTCCCCTTTTTTTTCGAAACGGAGGCAAAAGCTTTGCCTCATCTCATTAATAAAGCAGAAGAGAGTTGTCCGGTTAATAAACGGAAAACCGGACGAAAACCGTAACAAACCGTTGAGCGGCACACACATAATACCACATACACCTCATATAGAGGGTTTCGTCAACATCACCCACCGGTGTCATCGTCATCACTTCTCCCCAACAGGCGTCATCGCCCTCCCTAATCTCCGAGAAAGCGACTCCGGCTTCTCCGAAGACAAATGTCGCCCAACCCACACTGTAGAGGCTGTGTGGAACACAAGAAACCCCGCGCCAAACTGAGCCACCCGCACAAGGACATCACAGCTCCGGCTCTGAAAGATAGCTTCGAAGGAGAACTATGCAAGGCTGGCGTCGCGGAAGACCACCGAACAGACCACCTGCTGCCTGTCATCGTCGCCACAGGGGCCCCGCCGCTGCAGCTCCGACTTCACGGCAACAAAACAACCCGAGGTAATCCCACAAACACGCCGGAGAAGAGCTGACTACCGCAGCCATTGCCACGTCTCCGACATTGCACATGCCCATCATCCTTGCCACAGAAGCCTCGACGCAAAACACCACCAACTTCCATCGGTCCCGCTTGATGATGCTAGCTCCAAAGACGAAGCCCTCGAGAGGGGATACGATGCTAGAGCACCGTCATCGTCCGATCCCATGGATCTAGGGTTTCCCCCAAAGCTGCGAAGATTGAAACTAAGAGTACCTCGACGATGCCAACAAGAAGGAAACGACGCTTGAAAGCGTCGCCATCGCCGGCTCCGGACACATCGGAGACAAGCTTTCGCCCGGGTCAACCTCACGAGCCCCAAACATCATGCATCAGCAAGCCCTCCAACGAGCCACCGAGCCACCGAGGGAAAATTCGGCTGGATCTGACCACCTACACACTTCGCAACCTCCGAATAGATCCGCGCCAACTCCGTCGTCCGCCTGCCGCCCCGACAACCGGAGACCTCCACCGCGCGGCCGTCGCACGCTGCACATCCAGAGAGGATCCCTAGCAGGGAGGGACGGCCGCCACCCCACCCCAACTCGCCAGACGAGCTGCCAGATCCGCAGCCCGTCAACCGAAACTCGAGCAGGCACCACCACGGCACCAAGTAGGAGGAACGCAGCAAGGGCTCCACCACGACGCGCAGCAGGGGGC